AAAAAAGGAGGGAGAAAACACATGTGAAGAGGATCAATTCTGCCGTGAGTGTAGGTTTTACTGCTTTTGAAAAGACAGCAAAGAGTCAGCAGTTTCCCACCTTCCACAGGGACAAACTGAGGTACTGGAGGTCTGCATAGGACATGTTCACTATGCAGGGACAGGTCCCCTGACACTGCCTAAGCAGCAGCTGCAGATGCTCCTACTAATTCCTTATGTTATTGAACAAGTCCAAATCAATGCTTCTTCACTTCCTTCCTCATCCTGCAACTGCTCTGCATTGAAAGGTGACTACATTTTTACCTTCTGGTGTGGCAAAGCTCAAACAATCTGCACAAAGCCCCTGTACGCAGCAAGCCTCAGTCTAAGAATTTGTGGTTTTGCTGTCTCCCTTCAGACATAGCTCTCTTTTTTGCTCTCTCAGAGTTTCTGAACAACCTCAAAGTCTACGAGGGGAGAATTTCTACTCTGCACATTCCTTCCACTGCAAGTAGTATCTCTAAGAGGTCAGGGAAAGCTCTCTCTGTCCCTGCTGCTGCATAGATCTTCACTCTCCAAGGAAAATCCAGCAGCAAAACTAGTGCTCTGCTTACACAGATCCTGCCTCCTCCTAGGGGTACTTTGCTCTGCATCTTGCTCTTGGCAGCATCCCTCCTTTCTCTGCTAAATGGAGAATTCTGAGGTGCCTTGTACAACAAAGAAAGGTGGTACGTTACTTGATGAACTCCAGTGTAACACCCTGGTTTTTGGGGGACTCAGAGCTTGGGAAGAGTGGCCATGGACAACATAGCATGCCAATGGACAAGTCAACACGTTTCTTGGTGCAAGACTGCAAGAAGAGCTTGATGATAAAGCTTTCTCCCTCTGAGGGAGGCAGTTTTGGAGTCCACATAAGGCTGGGAGTCTCAATTGTGAGGATGTGGCTGAATCCAAACAGAACCACGACTGCGGTAGGATTCCAGGTTGCAGTCACAGTGAGGGTAGATTTGCTCTTGGCACCGCTGTGATGTTTCAGACCAATCTCTCAGACATGGGAGTCGGAAGGGAACATCCGTAGCAATTACCATTGTTATGTTGGAGCAACAAGTGCTTGAGTCAGCACAGAGACTTGAGACCACAAAAGACTTGAGTAATGCAGGCAAAGAAAATATTACTCCCTAGCGCCAGATAAGCATCTGCACAGCAGATGCCACATCAGCTTCTAGGTGTGAAGGTATTTGTTTCTTGGCAGCAAGGAGCTTAAAGTACTCGTAATCCCTTTTGCTGGGGGAAAAAAATGGGGTTTTTTTTTGGATGCTCACATATGATTATATTCTATGATTCTATGATTAGCATAGAGGTGTCTCAAGCAAGCTGGAGAGGGCTGGGCTTTCATTGTTTCTGTCAAAAGAAGGTGTTAGACCCAATGCATGTGCTACAATGATGCCTGCAGACAAGCTCCTGCTCTTGTTCCCAAGGGACATGACTGCAAAGAAGTCCTGCCGTCTAAGTTTTAGCTTGTTTTAGCAATGCTAAGAGATCAGACCTTTCCTATACAAGGGTCATATCTGGAGGTCAGATGCAAGCTCAGTTTTCATTCATTCTTTAATAGTAGTAAGTTGCTTTAGCTCAGGCAACAATTGTGAATGTAGAATAATCTAAATGTCCACACATTGCCAGTGACAAGGTACTGGCAGCTTATCCTGTGAGTGATGGAAATCACTGTGGGGACAGATCCCTGCCACCAAACTTCTGTCTGCAGAGGGCAGAGAAGATAAATTGATGATGCTGAAAGTAGCTTCCTGAAGAAAAACATTGCTCCACTCTTGTTTGCTTACAGATGGTTATTTCCCCAAAGATACAACACCTGAAAGAGCTCTATTCTTCATTCCAGGGTCAGCTAGCCCATCCTTAGCTCAAAGACAAGTTTTCTACTCCGCTGTCAAACTCAATAGGCTCTTCTGTCTCTTTCCCCTGATGTACAGAGCCACAAGATAAGGATTTTGTACAAAATGCTCCCCACCTACTTCACTGATGCAGAGGCCTGACACGACCCTCCACCAGCAAAACACAATGCTGCCTGTTGGGAACTGGGAAAAGCAAGAATGAAATAGGGAAGAGCACAAGCACAGCTGAAGCTGGCTATTGTGTCAATCCACCTCATTCCATCCAGGAGATAAAGTCAGGTCCTGGAGGAACAGCCCAGAAAGTTCTGCTCACCCATACTTTGCCTAGGACAGGAAGATACTCGTATCTACATGAGAATATGAGGTGCATGATCACTTGAGCTCAGGAGGTTCAGAAAGTAGCTAAGCTGGTTCTTTCTACCAGCTTTTAAATGAAGAGTCATGGGTCTACCTAAAATCAGCGCAAAGGTGTGAAATCACTGCTATTAGGAAGAAGATGCTCAGCAAAGATTACCTGAAGGGTTGATGTTCCCACTCCTGTTGACAGAGGCAAAGCAAAATCACCACGAGAAAGGAAAACAGCCCTTCCCCTGCTGGACCTCTACATGTTAACAGTACCTTCCACCTCCTTCTATTTCCTACTGCTAACCATCGAGGGCTCTGACTACATGTTCTTACACTTTTGAGATAGAAATTGGGTTACCTTGCAGCAGTCAGTACAGTCAGCAGGGAAAATGAACCGAGAGTCAAACCAGATGGGAGAGCTGCTTTAGTCTGAAAGGAGGGACAGTTACATAACTGATAAAGAGCTGATGATCCATTCTGCAGCTCCCATGACCACCACTTACTGAGCAAGAGAGCTGGGTACTAGCGAGTGCAGCAGCAAAATGCAAACCAAGACAGTGTGCTGGGTGGGGGGAGGGAACAGAGATGGGAGCAGATCTTCAAACTCAGCTTTATTATATCCAAGTGTTTTGAAGATTTCTACAGCACTAAATGGCACTGTTGTATTCCCACCAGACATCCAACTAATTTGCCTGTTTCTATCTTAGGAAATTCACCTCTTATTTTGATCCAGTTTGCCACAAAGCCATCATGAGCATGAGAGAAAACACCTAGCTGGATATCCAGCACTCAGTCAATGGGCATCTCTCCCAGAGGCCTCTTCCATTCAGTAGCAAAGAAACAGAGCTGGAAACAGGAAAGCAAAGACATAGAGAAAGACAGGGGGAAAAACATACTTGGTCCCAGAACTGCAAGCTCCTCACCTGTTTTCTTTGCACTGCATCCAGGTGCAGTGGAAAGCCATTCTTCATAAGGTGCTTCATAAGAGGAAAGCTATTTCATTGTGATCTTAGTGTCAAGTAACACACAGGGAATCAAACTGCTGGCTGCACCAAGAGCTTCCTGTGTGCAGTTTGAAGCAGGGCCTGCAGCTCAGTCAGGAGAAGGTCCCCTTCACCACAGGGCTGCTCAAGCTTTATAATCCTGCTGATACAGGTGCCTGTGCACCAACCCAGCATAAAGGTGAACCTTTGCTGTTACACCAGCTACATACAAAACAACTCTTCAGTACCTCACTATGCACACAACAGCTTCTGTAGGAACAGCTTCTGTTGCCTATTTACAGATGACTTGTGTGTGTCCAGTGGGGTCACATCTGCACTAGGTGAATTAGGTGTGCAGACCCCTAACGCCAGCCTGCACCATAACGAAAGAGCCCACTGAGGATTACTGAGAAAGCTGATGCATTTTCACTGCACCCAAAGGAAATTTTTAACAGGATTCTTTATATATACATATACATTTTTGCATGCATACATTTGTACATATATATATATATCTTTGTGTGTGTGTACTGGTTTACGTATTGGATTGCAGCTGTGTGTGTATTAGCTTTAAGTCAAGTTAGAAATCTTGTGATTCATCTTCAAACTGTGAATGAAACCTGCACTGCTGCTGGACACACATATAACCTCTTAACCCTAGGCATAAACTGTTGACCAAGTTTGAGACTAAGACTGGATCCAGTCACGAGTTCAGAAAGCAAGGGTCCATGCTGAACCTTGTGACTCAACAGGAGGATCTCCCTTATCCCTTTATATCCCCAGTTTCTGTACACATCACATTACTCCAATTCTATATAAATCATCACCAATTTTGATAGTTTCCTTTTGCATGTTGTAGAGTGAACCTTGCCATCAAATTCTGTTGAATCAATAAATCTCTAACATCACTTTTGCTGGTATCTCCAACACTGATTCTTTGAGCAATTCTAACCACTCTTGTCATGACAATTAGTACAATCACTGTCACAGATTCCCTCAGCTCTCCACATGAGTCAAGTATCCATTAAAGCTTGATTACTTGTGGGCTAAAACTTGGATTTGCAGGAAGACACCTTGTCTATAGCTGCTGCACCCCAGAGAAAAAGAAATGGAGTGTTTATTAGTTTGACTAAAGATTACAAGCAACCAGAGAGCAATGCAGAACAAACAGATGGAATAATGATCCTTTAATAGCATCATTAGAGGATGGTGCACCACATACCGGACATGTAACTGTGTCTAGGTGTCTGAGAGAGTCCGCCCACTGAGATCTAATGCATCAGAAGGCAGCTATCAACTCACAAGTGTGGGCACTTAGCGTCTCACGAGCTCGTCCACTGGCCATTTGACATCACAGCAGAAAGTGAGCTTAGGGAAAGACTTCCATTTCATTATGGAATGGTTCTGTCATGGCAAAGGAAAGGAAATGGCATCAGCTTCTTTATTTCCATGCTCCATCTTTGAATCTTGATTCTTCTCATTCTCCGATCTACTTTAAGACAAGGGAGGGGGAGAAATGGCATAGCTCAGGATTTTTCTCGTACTTGACAGAAATAAACAAACATCCATGGCCTCAGATAAAAAAGTGCATCCAGCTTCACTGAGCTGCTTATTGATTGGTTTAGCATCAGAATCACACCATGAGGAATCTGTCATTGTGCATCCACAAACCACTCCACATGTGCACAGATGAAATGTCAGCTGTTCATTGGTGTAAAGGCAAAAAAGAACCAGACTGATAGAAAAGATAACAACAGGGACGTAAGTATAGGACACTGATCAATAATACTGCAAAGTCTCAAAGCAGAGCTGGCTGAGGCTGGAAGCTGATTTCTCAGATATGCATCTGAATTAAGAGCTACAATATGGGGAAGAAATCTGGGATGTGTTTTTCCAAGGGAGCATATGACTGCTTCCACAGCAGTCTGTAGCCTGCAGTGTATCTTCAGCAACTTTGTCACCATGGCAACCTGACATTCTTCTGTAAGACACATTGGTTAATAACATTTTAGGGATAGATTTGTGCCAGAAGGGAGCATCCACACATGACAGATACAGCAACCCTCTGAGAGGAGCTTGTCCAGGAGCACCTGGGTAGTGCCCAGCCCTGCAGATGGGGGATGCAGGCCAAAGAACCAGGACCAGCTGCAACACTAGGCACTGGGAACAAAGAGATGAGAAAAATAGGAACAAGTGAGAATATGGGAAATTCCAGCTCAGTTTAAGAAAAAATCTTTTGCTGAGAGAGCTGGGCTGGCTCAGCCTGGAGAAGAGAAGGCTCCTTAAGGGAGAGACCTTAGAGCATCTCCAGTGCCTAAAGGGGCTACAGGGAACCTGGAGAGGGGCTTTGGACAAGGGCCTGTAGGGACAGGACAAGGGGAATGGCTTCAACCTGCCAGAACAGGGGAGATTGAGATGAGCTCTTAGGCAGAAGCTCTTCCCTGTGAGGGTGCTGAAGTGCTGGCACAGGGTGCCCAGAGAAGCTGTGGCTGCCCCATCCCTGGCAGTGTTCAAGGCCAGGTTGGACACAGGGGCTTGGAGCACCCTGCTCTAGTGGAAGGTGTCCCTGCCCATGGCAGGGGTTGGAACTGGATCAGCTTTGAGGTCACAGTATCACAGTATGCTAGAGATTGGAAGGGACCTCAAAAGATCATCTAGTCCAATCCCCCTGCCGGAGCAGGAACACCTAGATAATGTTACACAGGAATGTGTCCAGGCGGGTTTTGAATGTCTCCAGGGAAGGAGACTCCACAACCTCCCTGGGCAGCCTGTTCCAGTGTTCTGTCACCCCCACTGAGAAGAAGTTTCTTCTCAAGTTTAAGTGGAACCTCTTGTGTTCCAGTTTGTACCCATTACCCCTTGTCCTATCACTGTTTGCTACTGAGTAGAGCCTGGCTCCATCCTCGTGACACTCCCCCTTTATATATTTATATACACTGATAAGGTCACCCCTCAGTCTCCTCTTCTCTAAACTATAGAGACTCAGCTCCCTCAGTCTTTCCTCAAAAGGGAGATGCTCCACTCCCTTAATCATCTTTGTTGCCCTGCGCTGGACTCTCTCCAGCAGCTCCCTGTCCTTCTTGAACTGAGGGGCCCAGAACTGGACACAATACTCCAGATGCGGTCTCACCAGGGCAGAGTAGAGGGGAAGGAGGACCTCTCTCAACCTACTAACCACCGCCCTTCTAATACACCCCAGGATGCCATTGGCCTTCTTAGCCACAAGGGCACAGTGTTGGCTCATGGTCATCCTGTCGTCCACTAGGACCCCCAGGTCCCTCTCCCCTACGCTGCTCTCTAACAGGTCATTCCCCAACCTATACTGGAACCTGGGGTTGTTCCTGCCCAGATGCAGGACTCTACATTTTCCCTTGTTATATTTCATCAAGTTATTCCCTGCCCAACTCTCCAGCCTGTCCAGGTCTCGCTGGATGGCAGCACAGCCTTCTGGCGTGTCAGCCACTCCTCCCAGCTTAGTGTCATCAGCAAACTTGCTGATAGTACACTCAATTCCCTCATCTAAATCATTGATGAATATATTAAATAATACCGGTCCCAGTACTGACCCTTGAGGCACTCCACTAGTTACAGGCCTCCAACTAGACTCAGCCCCATAGACTACAACTCTCTGGCTTCTCTCCTTCAGCCAGTTCGCAGTCCACCTCACTACCTGATCATCCAGTCCACACTTCCTCATTTTAGCCGTGAGGATGCTGTGGGAGACTGTGTCAAATGCTTTGCTGAGGTCAAGGTAGACCCCATCCACCGCTCTGCCATCATCCATCCACCGTGTTATTTCCTCATAAAAGGCTAAGAGATTGGTCAAACATGATTTCCCCCTGGTGAAGCCATGCTGACTTCCCCTCATAACCCTCTTATCCTTGATATGCCTTAAGATGGCACCAAGGATAAGGTGTTCCATCACTTTCCCAGGGACGGAGGTGAGGCTGACCGGTCTATAGTTACCCGGGTCCTCCTTCTTGCCCTTTTTGAAGACTGGAGTGACATTTGCTTTCCTCCAGTCCTCAGGCACCTCTCCCGTTTCCCAAGACTTGGTAAAGATGATGGAGAGTGGTCTAGCAATGACTTCCTCCAGTTCCCTCAGCACCCGCAGGTGCATCCCATCTGGACCCATGGATTTATGGATGTCCAGATTGCTCAACTGGTCTCTAACCCATTCCTCATCGACTAAGGCAAACCGCTCCGTCGACCTGACTTCATCTAAGGTCTCAGGGGTACAGGGCTCTTCAGGACTGCCTGCAGCAGAGTAGACAGAGACAAAGAAGGCATTCAGTAACTGTGCCATCTGTGTATCTTCTGTCACCAGGGCACCCATCCCGTTCATCAGTGGGCCTACATTGCCTCTGGTGTTAGTTTTGTCTGCCATGTATTTGAAAAAGCTCTTTTTGCTGTCCTTGACCCTTCTCGCCAGATTTAATTCTAAGGAGGCCTTAGTCCTCCTAGCTGCCTTCCTACATTCTCTAGCAGCAGCCTTATACTCTCCCAAGTGGCCAGCCCCTCCTTCCATGACCTGTAAACTCTCCTCTTCCACTTGAGCATACCCAGCAATTCCCTATTTAGCCACACAGGTCTCCTGGCCCTCTTCCTTGACTTCCTACGTGTCGGGATGCTCCGATCTTGAGCTCGGAAAAAGCAATCCTTGAATGCCAACCAACTATCTTGGGCCCCTTTACCTTCAAGCAGCCTTGCCCATGGGATTTCCCCTAGCAATTGCTTGAAAAGGCCAAAATTTGCCCTGCTAAAGTCCAGGGTTGCAATTCGACTTGCTATTCTACTGGTCCTACCACACAAGATCCTGAACTCCACCATCTCGTGGTCGCTGCAACCAAAGCAGCCCTCAACCCTTACTGCTTCAACCAGACCCTCCTTCTTAGTGAGGATGAGATCCAGCAGTGCTCCTCTCCTGGTCGGCTCATCCACCATTTGCAGGAGGAAGTTATCATCCATACACTGAAGGAACCTCCTGGACTGCGGCTGGGTTGCCGAGTGGTCCTTCCAGCAAACATCAGGGAAGCTAAAATCCCCCACGACGACGACAGCCTGTGACTGTGAGGCTGCTCTCAGCTGCCTGTAGAAGGCCTCGTCAGCTTCCTCACCCTGATCTGGTGGTCTGTAACAGACACCCACAACAGTATCCCCCCTGCCAGCCTGCCCCTTAATTCTCACCCACAGACTCTCAACTCGCTCGTCATCTGTCCCTGGACAGAACTCGGTGCATTGTAGTTGCTCCCGTACATGAAGAGCAACCCCACCACCCCGCCTGGCTGGCCTGTCTTTCCTGAAAAGGACGTAGCCCTCCATGACTATATTCCAGTCATGTGAGCTGTCCCACCACGTCTCTGTAATTGCCACCAGATCATAGTCTCCTGACTTAACACAGGTTTCCAACTCCTCCTGCTTATTTCCCATGCTGCGCGCATTGGTGTACAGGCATTTCAGGGAGCGAGCTGAGCACACCGATTTCACCCTAGGATTATAGGAGGCCTCCCAGTCTTCATTAATTCTGGAGCGCTGCCCCACTGGGGCAAGCCCAGCTACAACCCCATCCCCTTTGAATCTAGTTTAAAGCTCTCCAAATGAGCCCTGCTAATTCGTGCCCCAGCATCCTTTTGCCTCTGTGAGATAAACCTTTCCCACTTGTCATTGTCCAGACTGGTGCCCTATAAAACCAGCTGTTATCAAAGAATCCAAAGCCCTGCCTGCAGCACCAGTCTCGAAGCCAATCGTTTATGGACTGAATTTTCCCATTCCGTCCCACATCATCAATGAAAGATGGAAGGAGTGAGGAGAAGATCACTTGAGCCCCAGACTCTTTCACCATCCGCCCCAAGGAGCTGTAGTCTTTCTTCATCCCCCTCAGACTGCGGGAAGCAGCTTCCCCCTCACCTGTCTGGAAGACCAGCAGTGGGTAGTAGTCTGTCGGGTGCACCAGGTTGGGGAGCGTCCTGGTGATATCCCTGATCCGGGCTCCAGGCAGACTACACACTTCCCTATGATGAGGGTCAACTCAGCATATTGGGCCCTCTGTTCCTCTCAGAAGGGAATTGTCCCTTCGAACCCAAACCAGTCTGGGGTATTCAAACCTCATGAACATGGCCCTGTTTGAACCAGTGCTGGGCTTCCAGAGGTCCTTCCCAACCTTTGTGATATTTTGACAAGCTCATTTTTATTGCTTGCAAAATCCAACATTAAGCAGTAACCTGGAAGACAGTCCTCAGTCGGTCTAATCCTTCAAAACAGATCCAGAAGAGGTGGACAAAGAGCAAGGCAAAAATCACTGCCATTCAGAATAGCGATAAGAGATTATCACAGCAGCTCTCCTCTCTGCTGTAACACCTCTGCTTCAACCCAGCACCATGATCTGACCTGAGCATCAGGAAAGGTCCTGCCTCGGTCTGTTTCAACTTCAGTCCTTCATTCTGAGAAGATGAAAGAAGGGTGACTTCTCTGCTATAGAAGCCAGATGACACCAAGGACTCAGCTATCACAGACAGGCTCCAAGGCAGCTTGTCATTTCCTCCACGTTGCCTAAGTGATAAATTGCTCCAGCTTTCACTCTTAAAACCGATTGGATATGGAGCTCAGGCACTGTGCAACAGATCCCATTCTGCTGGGATTTTCCTTCCCTCTGATGCTTCACTTCTTTCCCCCAGAAAGCAATAAGATTATTTCTGAGAGCTGCAGAAAGTGGAGTGGGTGAATGGAGAGGAAAAGACAAAGGCAGAACATATGAAGCCATGAGAATACAAAACTGGAACTAAAATCAAGCAGCTTCTCAATGAGGACACAGAGGATAAAAGCCCTGCTTTCCACACCCCAGGAGGGTGATGCACCCTGCTCCGTTATTGTTTTTGTAGAAGACACCCCAACAAGCATCCATTTCACTCTGAAGGTTGGATCCTGGATTTCTTGGGTTTGACAAGAGCCCTGATATTATTCTTCCACTGAAAACAAACCACTACTATTCAATGATGCCAGGCCATTCACTTCTGCTTCTGCAAGGCTGCTAATCAGCTTCTAACAACTGCCCTTGCCACATTCCCACCGGCTGTGGGCTCTGCCTGGTGAGAACTCAGCCAAAGAGCCATTGTCACAGTCCCTTGGCTTGATGCAGACAGAATTTGGCATTAACTATACTTTCCTTGTGTGATTAACAACAGTAAGAATCAGCATTCACAATCTCCATGCATATTACAAGCAAAGGCAGGAGCTTTCTTCTCAGTTTTCCTGTTCAAGGAAATGAAGCACTGCTGGCGAGACTCCCTACAGCAGTCATAGGTCAGACTCCACCCTGAGGAACATAACCTGCCTTAGGCAGTTGATTTTGGAAGAGCAGAGTGTTGGGGCCCTTTTCCTTTGCTTTCTGGGGTTCAAGGTGTTAGTGAGTTTGAGCCACTTTTTCAGCAATTCAGAGCCACAAACACCATCAAGCGGGTTCCAACCCAATGGAACCTACCATTTGCTCACACTGTGGTGACCAACACAGCTCCAACTAACTCTACACACACCTGGCAGGCCAAGCTCACTGATGACCTTAATGCCTGTTGAAGGCTAAGGCTGTGAGGGTGACCAGATGTTGTGCAGCAGCTGGCTCTCCTGCTATCTCTCGCTGACGTGCCTGAGCTCCTTGTTGGCCCACAGCACAACATGTGAATTTTACAGTTCCGGAGATGCACTAGGAAGTAAATCCAGCAAATCTGATTAGGATTTGTCACTGAAGTAAGCTCGTTAATCACTGATGTGGTTCTTTCCTATGCAGTTTGCTAACTCCTGCAGGCACCAGCAGGGTCTGAAGGCTGCAGACTTGGAAAAGTTCTTTATATAACCACTGCACTGATCTTTTTTTCCTCTTGAATATTAATATTCTAATAAATAAAGAGCCACAAAGCACTGGTGAGCTACTTTAGCCTCGCTTTTTGCATAGACTCAGGCACAGGATATTCACATTTCCTTACTTAATTGACGATTGAACTTGTCTTGCTTTGCCTCTCAACAACAGGTTCTTTGAATTACAGCTGAAAGTCACCTAGTATTAAACTGCTGCTTCCTCAGCCTCTGCCAAAATACTCTCAGATAAGCTGAGCTCCTGCCGTCTCAACACACAGCATGTATTTTCCATTACCCACCAAACACAGCCATCAGAACATGGCTTGTAAGGATGCCAGCCATGATCCCACAGGTGCCAAACAGAGGGGAAAAAGCCAGGAATAATATGAACTCATCTGGATATGTGCAGCTCCAAATTGAAGCCATGGATGAAACGCTCTAATTCTAAATACAAGTGAAACTGAGAAATAAGACTTCTCTCCAGACTTTAAACCTAATAAGTCAAATGAATAAAAACAACAGGAAAAGGGAGTTTTGAGGGGGTTTGAAATTCTCCCTTAATCTCCTGATGTATCTGCCTCTGAGATGGCCAAAACCTAGGACACTGATATAAAACACGGCTCTATAAATGACACTTACAACCCATTTTCAAAAGCAAGCAGAAAGTATTAAAATCACAGAATATCTTGAGTTGGAAGGGAGCCATAGGAATCATCAAGGCCAACTCCTGCACAGGATTTCAAGAACCATAAATCCCTCCCCATTTGCTTCAAATTCTCCTTCCAGGAGATTCGACAGCTTGTTTCTAGTGTAGAAATCTGTTAGACATTAGATACAGGAACACAAAACATTTGTGATTACTGCTTAAAGGGGTCAGCTCCCCTTGTGAGCCACAGAATTCATTTAAGATACCTGGCACTTTCCAGATGCCAAGACAAGGATATCTCACCATTCAGAGCACATGGATACCCTTGCACACAATTCTTCTGGAAGACCAGTTGAAGAAAACCCAAATTCACTCAGCCAGACTGAGAGATGCCACTCTTCAGTAAGCCTCAGTCTTTTCACACCATCTCCTTGGATGAAAGGTACCCAGAAAGACACAGAGTGCACACCAGAATGGCACTGCAATATGCTCAAGGAAGTTCAAATACACTTAGGAAAGCTAAAGGTTCTTATGAGAGGAAAGGCAGTGATTACAACAGCCTATCACCTTTTCTGGCTCATAGATAAACTAAAATAGCATATGGTTTAATGAAATCCTTCTCACAAATAAAGACCTGCCTCAGCAGAATGACTGGGTTTTCCTTTCAGATCTAAATTTCAGGAGAGTAGGGGTTACATCTCCTTCAGCACATACAGATATATCACAGATGTGCTTATGAGTAACATGTTAGTTTTCGGTGAGTCATCTAAGGCTGTCTTGTTGCCAATGCAGCAGGCCTGAACTGAGCTCCATGCACATGGAGCATTAAGTTCTGGCACTTTCCGCAGGGACAGGGACCTGCTAATGAGATGTACCCAAGCGTGTGTGCAAGCCTTTTAATCACAAAGACATAGTGCTAAGTGATTTCGTCTTCATTTTCCAGCTACTTTAGAACTGGTTAGCATGCCAAAGAACATCCTCCATTCTGTGTTCCTAAAGCTCTTTCTTCCCTTTAGATTAACTCCATCAGACAGCAGGTGAAATATCAGCAGCAATTACAGCTGCTCCCACATAAAGCCTTAGAAGTAGAACAGCAAAGCTGGTTTGTGTAGGATAGACCTTGCCAGCTGCAATGAAGCATGAACACCATCTAATATCATTCCCATTAACTCAAACATCTCCTTCACAGCTTCTCTGCAACAAACATGTGCAAACAAACAGAGTAAACCTCATCTTGGTCCTCCCAGATACCATATTACACATTCGCTTTTTGTCTGCTGACCTGTGTAGCCTCAGTGCCCTGTTGCATTAGATTCAGCACAAAGACATGGCCTGCAAACGAGCTTGCAGTATAAACAGGTACAACAAGCCAGAGCACCAGCACAAAAGTGGTGGGTGACTTGCTGAAGGACTGGGGTACCCAACAACTCTTTGCCAATACACAGCCAGAGCAGTCCACTGGCACTGGAGGTTGCACCCCATCCATGGTGCTTGTAGTGCTGTTTGTGTCCCTGAATTTCTCCATAAGCAAGTCCTATAAATGCTGGGAGTTACATAGCTTTTAACATGTTCACAGCCAAGAAGCACATTCTCAAAGAGGTCCTTTATCCTGAGTCACTTGCCCACCTTGTTGCAAAACTGCATAAAAGCTACCCTTTGAATTTTACTTACCCAAAGGGTATTATTCCATCTTGTCAGAGCTGAAGTAGCTGGGTTTATGCCAGTCTCCACGGCTGCTGCTTCTTCCCCTTGAAGGGAAAGCTTCAGGAGCAAATATGTCTTTGAAAAGAAGAATACAGAGACATACATGAGCATTGCATACTTTCAAACATGCATTCATTCAGCACTTCACATAACAACAAAACAATCTCAAGGATGCCCAGAAGTACTCATTACAGAATCATAGAAAGGTTTGGGCTAGAAGGGACCTTAAAGCTCATCCAGTTCCATCCCTTGCCATGGGCAGGGACACCTTCCACTAGAGCAGGTTGCTCCAAGTCCCTGTGTCCAACCTGGCCTTGAACACTGCCAGGGATGGGGCAGCCACAGCTTCTCTGGGCACCCTGTGCCAGTGCCTCAGCACCCTCACAGGGGAGAACTTCTGCCTGAGTTCTAACCTGAACTTTCCCTGTTCCAGTTTGAACCCATCACCCCCTGTCCTATTGCGACAATCCCTGATGCAGAGTCCCTCTCCAGCATCCTCGTATCCCCCTTCAAACACTGGAAGCTGCTCTGAGGTCTCCACACAGCTTTCTCTTCTCCAGGCTGAACAGCCCCAATGTTCTCAGCCTGTCTCCATACAGGAGGTGCTCCAGGCCCTGATCATCCTAGTGGCCTCCTCTGGACTTGCTCCATCCTTCTCATGCTGAGGACACCAGAACTGCACACAGTGCTGAAAGGGGGGTCTTATGGGAGCACAGCAAAGGGGCAGGATCACCTCCTTTGAGGTGCTGCTCACACTGCTGGGGATGCAGCACAGTTACAAGAGCACAAATCTGGTCATCCAGAAAACATGTACACAGACCACACAAGCCTCAGCATTGCCTGCTTCACACTTCCTCAATGAAACATCCCTCTGCAATGGAAAAAGCAGCTGGCTACGACCTGAGCAAACTGCTTTCCTTGTCCCTCAGATAGATGATCTTCAGGTGGTCCAAGCAGATGATCCAAAAGGCAAGCACATGCTAGTCCAGCATGGCAGGAATGGCTTACCTTCTCTGGGGCTGCTGCCTCGCCTGTTGGGGTTCATTACGGGCATGTGCATAAACTGTAAAGGAAAGATGTTTCTTATCAGACCTTATCAGAAGTCTCCCTCTCCTCCATTTCCCCATGTACTGTGTGATCACTCCCAAACATCGTTATTCACTCCTCTGAAAACAAGATCTCTGCTGATACTATTGCAAAGCACTGATGTTGCTAAGGAAATCTGCAGGCTCTCCAGTCAAAACCTTTTGTCCTTCATACCTTACCTGACCTTCTCCAGCCAGGCCAGCAGAGCCTGCAGAGCAGAGTTAGTCTGCTGCAGTCACACAGGGCACCTTTGTGACTCATTTAGCCCAAATTACTCTTTTAAAAGCTCTCTGTACTCTTCTTTTGTTGCTCTCTATCCAAGTAAAATGAGCCCAGACTCAGCCAGTCACAATTCCTTCTCCTATTCAAATGCCACCAGCCTACAGGAGCTACACCACATCATCTCAGCCAGGTTGAGTTACAGCTCTAGAGCAAGAGCTACAGTGCAATTGCTGCAGGTCTTTGCAGAAAGAAATACTTCCCTTTTCATGTGCAATAATTCCCTTTGGCATTTATTTCTTATTAACATTGCAGGAAATATATTCCCTAGCAGGAGTATTGGCAGCAGGACTGAATTTTAAGTGATAGTTAAAGAAGACTTGCAGAAAGATGCCTGCTTGTAAAAACAAGTGTTTATACTGAGTGCCCTATTAAACAAGAGTTATGCTTAACCCACAGAGGACAGACTGAGCATCCCAGACTATGTTACATATTTCAGTACTTCACATGCAGCCTTTCTGTTCTGCAAAGCAAGGCTTCCTGTGGTGCATTCACTCCATGGTTGTGAATAGAGCCTGAACAACAAAGATGTAAAAATAAAACTAAATGGGAAGCCATGTTGGCAATTCAAAGCAAGGAAAAGTGACACAGAATCCCATTTGCTGCAAGTTATTCATTCAGTTACTCGCACTTCCCCAAAATAAAGGCTGTCCATATCCTCTGGCACCTTGCTTGTGAAACTATCCTGGCTCCCTGTATATAATCCTCAAGGACAACACCCTCTGCAGAGCTCCGCAGCAGGCACCTAGGTTCATGTGTCAGTTCATGGAAAAAGTGGACATGAGCATGATGTGAAGAGCTCAAGGAATTCACAGGTTGGGTTGGCATTTAATCACACCTTAAACCCAAATAAGAGCTCAAAAACAGCATACAAATCTCAGTAGAGCAAATGTTCTTCAGCTGTACTGTGATTATGCTCAGCTGGGAGCTGGCTTTGGTAACAGAGCCAGAGTCAGGGGTATTTGTTTCTGCCTAAGACGTGTCAATCACTTTTCTCCAGGCATTGTGTCAATGAAGAAGGAGTGCTGGAGCTGGTGGATGTGCCAGACTGCTGCAGAGATTCACACTCTCCCATGGCATCCATCAGGCAAGGTCAAACTTCTCAGCTGATGGCAAGTGAAGTGTTACAGGAGACAGCTGGGTCTTGTGATCAAAACCTCAGCTGCAGCAGCACCTGACCTCCTTTAAAGAGAATGAGCTGAATTTTTGCTCCCCAAGCAGTAAAACTGAGCTTTCCCCTCCCTTACCTCCTCACTGCTCAGTGATTCGGAGCTGGATGCACCTTGATGGCACTGCACAACAATGTTGGAGATGAGCTCATCGGAGACTTCCACAACACTTCTGCAGAAAGTGGTTGGCTGTAACAGATCAAACCAGAGCAAATCTCATAGAGCAAAGCCACAGGACAAACCCTCTCACGGGGCCTTCACTGGGGATGGGAACTTGTACAGGGATTAAATTCCAAGAGGAAGACCGTACACCTCTCACATTATCAGAGCAGACTCTAGTCAGGTAAATATATTCTGACAGCACATGACTACACCCAAGTCATTGCTCCACAATTACATGTCAGCTGCATGAAGCCTTCAGCCTGCTTGAGGTAGAAGAAAATCTCTAACTCCTTTTCATGGCTTTGGCATCACCAAGCACAAGCAGAAGGGCTGTCCAGGGCTATGCTGATGGGAGCTCCAGCTCTACAAGTTAAACTACCTTTAAGTCAGCTACCTTTAAGAAGCTCCAGCAAAACCTGCACCCAAGTTTGGAAACAAAATATGTCCTCACACTACCTTTCATACTGCATTTCCCCAAGAAGAAAAGCAGAGGGATGGTGTCTGTCCAGGATATAGTGATAACTTCACAGCAGCCAACCCTTGTATCATTGAAGAATATCTAGCAACAACCATCAGTTTCATGTTATCCCACCTACATGCACACACAAGGTGCTTAGCTCAAGAGTAGTGATACTCTGAGATGTTTGCTCCACTCTTCATGGAGTGGACTACCTCCTGAGGTAGTAGCATGACTCATAAGCTATGACGAAAGCCTTTGCAGCATCTGTCCTGCGTCTTCCCAGAATCCCTCCTGCTTCCTAACAATTGTGCCCAGGAAGGACAGGTAAGGTTACAGACATTCACAGAGGAAAAATAGTGTTTCAACATCTCATAGAATCATTGTAGAATCAGACTGATTTGTGTTGGAAGGGACCTCAAAGCTCATCCAGTTCCAACCCCTGCCACAGGCAGGGACACCTTCCACTAGACCAGGTTGCTCCAAGTCCCTGTCTCCAACCTGACCTTGAACACTGTCAGGGATGGGGCATCCACAGCTTCTCTGGGCATCCTGTGCCAGCGCCTCAGCACCCTCATAGGGAAGAGCTTCTGCCTAAGAGTTCATCTCAATCTCCCCTGTTCTGGCAGGTTAAAGCCATTCCCCTTGGCCTGTCTTCACAGGCCCTTGTCCAAAGCCCCTCTCCAGGTTTCCTTTAGCCCCTTTAGGCACTGGAGCTGCTCTAAGGACTCCCCTTAAGGAGCCTTCTCTTCTCCAGGCTGAACCAGCCCAGCTCTCTCAGCCTGGCTCCAGAGTAGAGCTGCTCCAGCCCTCGCAGCATCTCCATGGCCTCCTCTGGCCTCGCTCCAGCAGCTCCACATCCCTCTTGTGCTGTTGCCCCAAGAGCTTAATCAGGACTGCAGGGGGGTCTCCCCAGAGCACAGCAGAGTGGCAGGATCCCCTCCCTGAGCTGCTGCTCATGCTCTTGGGGTGCAGCCCAGAAACCACCCGTGTCCTGTCAGGTCACTGGGAGCTTCTCCCCATCCAACACCCTCAAGTCCTTCATCCTACATCAGTTTGGGGTTTCACATTCACACCACATTCACTTACCACAAAAGGCCCAATTCTGAAGTCACATGTGAACGGGTCTCTCCCTGACGCTTTCGTGCACTCTGTTTCACGGATGCTGAACTGCAGCTCCAGTCTATAGGCATCACTGTTCCACATGTCAACCTGGTCAAAGGAAGGTCAAGACAATACGTAATTAGTGCCTGTCATTCCTCTATGCCTGCTACATGGCAACCTTGCTTCTTTGTCAAGCAGAAGCCGACATAAGGGCATTATGGCTCAGTGCCCAATTTAGAGCCGATTACTGTGTGTGAGAAAGTCTCTTTTATTGTGCTCAGGAATTTGTCTCTTAGTCAGCAACACAGAACAGCTTTCCATGGGGGTCTCACTTGAATCCCTACAACCACTGCAGGATCCTCCTACTGCTCAGAGTCAGCTGGGGGGACTTAGAGCTCTCAGAGGTAGATAAGCATACCATTACCCTGTGTGCTACCCCATCTTCTAAAGGAAGCAGGGGGCTAACAGCTCTGCTTTGAATATCTAGACTGCTGGGAAGCCTATTGTGCAAGTAAATAGGCTTAGAAAGTAAATCCCACCACTGGAGGCAATTGAATTAACACAGTTAATACAGTCTTGCATTGTCTGCTCAGGTGCCTCATGGGCAGTCTAAGCAGTGTTTTAGCTCAAGCCGGGAAACTCACCCCACTCCCCACTGAAACCAAAACCCAACAACCAACAACCAACAAATCCCCACTGTTTTCAAGTAGTTTTCCAAATTAGATCAATCCCAAAGTCATCTTGCCATTCATCCTTGCAGAGGATTTGATACATGCCATCTATAGAAACAGAACAGTTACAGCATGTTACTCCTTAATTCTGGGTACCCAACATCATTCTTAGCAATGCAAATTAAAGCAGATAAAGAATTTCCTGCCTGTATTTAGACACTAACAGATTTAAACCAGCATTGGTGCATGGAGACAGAAGACATAAATAAAGACTGGAGAAAGAAAAGAACATTTCAGTTCCCAAAGCCATCATTCCAGATAATGCCCCAAACCCACCCTCTTCCAAGCAGCATCAGAAAACTCCAACTAAATTTGGGGGTTCAGGGTTGGATGAAAAAGAGTTTTCCATCAGAACAAAGCATATTTCAGGGAAAGGAACGCTGATTCTCTGTGCACTTACTCTTGTGACGTGGCTCCTGACAACACCATACAGGTTTGTCCCCCGTGACTGAGAGTTGATCCTTGCAATGGAAGCATTGAGAGCCTCTTCTGTGACAGGGAGATCATAGTCGTACACTGGAAAGCCTGAGATGAAGGCACAGTTCCGTTACAGGTTCATTGTGGTCTCCTAAACCACTGTAAGAAAGAGGCCACGGCTCCTCTGAGCAACTTACCTGAACATGAGAAAATGCCCAGTGTGAGGACAAAGATGAAGCTCCTCATAGTGTGCCTTTCCATATCCTCTGGCCTTTTCCCTTTCCAAGCAAGGATTTCCAGTGCATATTCCTCTGTCTTTATATAAATGCAGCCTTGATCCTTACACCTGACCTTCCTGTGTCCAAGCTCTGCTACAAACATTGCACTTTAAACAGAATTGATCTGACAGTAAATATTTGATGTCCGCTTTCCTCCCTTTAGCAGCAGCTCTTTGATAAGAGATGGGCTGCAGTGCCTGTTTCCCAGTACTGCGACTAAAAGGGAGCACTGAATTCCTGCTATCTCCATAGCCAAAAGCAGAATCTGGTTGTTTTGTTCACTTTTTAGCCCATAGTTTCCCCGGTGGAGAGTCAACTCATTCCTTAGCACTAGATCCAGCATGTTTGTGCCTCAGCAGCGACTGGAAGCACTTACAAGCGGGTGTCTAAGGAGGGGACAATTCCCCAGCACCAGACCACAATGGGGTGAGGTGTTTATTATACCCTCTCCAACACATGGCACTCAGCACTCGCAGGTCTTGCTTTCCAGATACAGGCAACGATCTCATCACTGTACCACAACTACAACACAACAGAGCCACTGAAACACTTCCAGTAAGGTTGAGATGCACCTGGGCTTTAAGTGTTTAAAGGCTGCCCATAGGGGTTGGGAGGGAAACTGCTGCCTTCAAACAAGGTCACCCATTGCTGACTGTTCACAAGGCAGAAACGTGCCTCAGCATTTTCACTTTGGAGATCCCATGTATGAATGTCCTCCATTAATCTTCAAATCACAGCGCCATGGGAATGATGCGGCATTTTAAGAACCTCCCAAACAACAGGCATTCGAGGAAGGACACAGGAGGCGTGCGAAGTACCAGGGGTCAGATTTAATAAGGAAGAGGATAAAGTGGCTTCTGCTTGTAAGCTGTCAGATTGGAGGATGGCATCTGATCACAAAGTTGTACACTGGGGGAACAGGACTCCTTGGGCGACAGAAGGAGCTGGGTAAGTTTCACTCACACTGCAAGTATTTAAGGGCAGAGACCCATAAAGGCAACACACTTGTAAGTCACAAAAGAAACCACTGCCCAGTTGTGGGCCCTGATGGTCACTGGATTCATTTCTCATTATTGCTGCAAGATCCTAGAAAAGGAACCTGATGAGCCATGGCACATCCCACGAAAGACTTTGTGTCCTGGTTGGCAGAGCTGCATATGAGCACAGAGCCTCTGCTGGGAACAAGCTGTGCCTGGAGGGTGACAGGTAGACGCAGCGCCAAATAGAAACCTGCCTGAGGCCACATCACAGGCTAGTGCCACACCATGTGTGTGCCATCCCACCCAAGCATTGCTTTGAGAGAGGAGGAGGTGGGTGTCAATTCCAATAAAAGGGGTGGGCACTTTTTACCAGCCAACTTGGATTCCAGCATTGGGAACACACTCAAAAACACCGACTGAAACTTTGCCCAGCCAAAAGCCAGAGCCTCTGTGTACAACCATTCGCCTTGTTCACTGCAGCTGAAGACGCCCTTTCCTGCCTCTTGGACATGCTCATCTATAGCAGGGCCTGACCTTTCTGCTTCCCAGTTCTCCTCAACTGCTGTCTGTGCCAGGGGAAGGCTGGTAATATTCTCCTGTGGCTGCAGCCATGCCAGAACACCACAATAGGGAGGATTCAGACTAAGCTAGAGGTTCTCAAGAACAGAGTTTGCGGTGCTATGCCCAACTTCCCTGCAACCACAGCCACGACCATGCTGCCTCAGATCCAGGAGGAAACCCTCCCGTTCACTGTTTGATCTGCTTCTACAGTGGTTTCTCTGCAATCAGACATGCTGCTGTTGTGGTAATGAAACACAAGAAATGAGACTGCTTAAACCACTCCGGGAAGAACTTGGCACCTGCAGCCCCAGGGAGCTTGGAGCAACCTGCTCTCATGGAAGGTGTCCCTGCCCACGGCAGAGGGTTGGAACTGGATGAGCTTTAAGGTCCCTTCCAACCCAACCTGTTCTACGATTGTTTTCCAGCACACTTCACCACCAACTCGCTGCAGTAGTCTGGATAACATTTAGCTTCCAACTTCACCCCTAGAGAAGGAAGCATCTGCCTCTCGTATGCTGGGATCCTTTAATATTCCACCAGAACCTGAATATGTAAAAATGCTTCCTACCTGCCAAGCCACAGCGTTATAGCCAGTCCAACAGTCATTTTAACTATTGAACCCACTGTGGGGCTTCAAGATATTCCTTTTAGAGTAGCTACTAAGAAATGCTGCCAGCAGGACTGGAGTTAATGCTGAGTATTAAAAGTGTTTAATGAAATGAAAGTTTCTCTGCAGAGCTCTGTCTGCCTTACAGCATCCAGAGAACAGAGATGTTTGCTATTCCACCTCTCTGAATCCTGACTCATTACGTCTCTATTGAAACTGGTAAATATTTTTCCTCTCTTTACACAGATCCATTACACACTCTAGTAGATTCATGTTACAGCAGAATCTGCTTCCTCCACTCTCTGTGTTAGAGGCACGTTTGGGTTGAGGATGCTCAACCCAGAGACAGGAACTGGGGGAGAGTTAGCAACTGGGGTGGGCAGGATGGGAATGGGGTGAAGGAAGAGTCTCTGGGGAGAATAGGCTGGCAGGAGGAAACGCAAGTCTGAGCAGTGTTGTCCACCTCCCAGGGAATGCATCTGCATGGGTACCACCTGCCTGGTGCTAACAGGGCATGTGCAAACAAGAAGAGAAGGAGTGTTTTCCTTTGGGGCAGGGGTTGAGAAAACCATTCTTGGGAAACCTCAGCTTTGGGTGCACTTAAGCAGTGGAACCAAATTTATATTCTCAGACCTGAAGTGTTCTGAGGGGCTCTGAGTCTTTCACCACATTCTCTTCAAACTGGAGACTAGAACTGAAGTATCAGGTTGCTTTAGTTGAAACACCACTGAATTTGTGAAGCCAAAGTGGAATTGAACCCAAAATTCCATCCTTTGCAACAGATTTAAGAGGTCAAATTCCCAAACCCGAAAGACACTTCTGCTATTGGCATATTCCAAATGGAAAGTTACTGCCTCATCTATGCTAAGGAAACAACAGGCATGGTCACACAGACTGAGGACAAAATCCTCTTGAAAGAGAAAAGCATCCCACCAATGAACCGGGCTGAAGGAGTTTGAGAAGACTTTTAGAGAGGGATGGTAGAGCAGAGAGCAAAAGCATCTGGGCACATATTGAGAGGGGGCAAGATGGAGACAGACTCTTCACAACTTAAGGACTCAACTTTGTCTCTACTACCAGCAAGTAATAGATGTCAAGCACCTTGGGGCAGAGGGAGGGGGTTGCATCCAGTTCAATCTACACAGCAAACAGATATGTGTTATTTAAGAAAAGAGGAAATTGAAGAGCTCCTGTTAGAGGCTTATTTTCAGCCCACTCTCACTCCCTGCAATCAGGAGTCAGCTCTGTTCCCAGACTACTGGAAGAACAATCATTTCTCTTTGTGAGTGAAACACTGATAATTACAAGACAAGTTTTCATTTCAAATGTAAATCACACAGCATCATGACATGCTGAAAACCATCTAAACAGCGGCTAAATAGCACTGAGGATCTCTTCCTGATCCCTTGTTTCCTGCACATTCAGATGACAGACAAAAAGTTAATGGTCCCTTCAGATAAAAGAAAATCCAACTAAATTCAAAGCAACATCTTCCTTATTTTCCCCTAGCTCTTGCAGTGTGTCTCTGGCAAAACCAAAAGGCTACCTAAAAGTTCTTCTCTATGGGTAACCTCATCACACATGCAGAACACATCAGCTGATAGAGGTAGGAGAAAGGCCTCTAGATTTTGCTCAGCCTAACAGAGGCTTTGAGACTTGATCAGTAGTTCACAAACACCAACAGAGACTCAGCTTTGATTCCCTTCAGCTCTTGTCTGTGTGTCCCTTGAGAAGCTAGCAGACAACCATAGAGTCAGTACAGACAAATGCTGCCCATAGGCTGCTCACTGTTTTCCAGCGCTGGACCACCTGAGAAGGAGGAAACATCTTTTTTTACTCCAGTTTCTCTATTTGCTTTCGTAAGATCATAGAATCACAGAATGGGGGGTTGGAAGGGACCTTCAAAGCTCATGTAGTGCAACCCCCCTGTAATGAACAGGGACATCTTCAACTAAATCAGGTTGCCCAAGATGTTACCCTCTGCCACACTGTCTGTGTTTCTCAGTGCCAGATAAAGCCTTCCACTGTGAAGCACTTGAAGATTAGGCAGTCAAAAGGAGGTTAAAGTGAAGTGACTACAGTGACACCTCAGCTTCCCGCATCTACACTATTAAGGATGAAACCAGGTGTATTTCCTAAGCCTGAAGTTTATACCATGGAAGTCTCATTGTCTGCAAGGTTTGCCATTGGAACTTATGTCTTAACAGTAATTTTCCTAAGATTAAAGGAAACATCTTTGTAAATGCACCAAGGCAGAGCCGAAACCCTTTCACTCTGCACTTCTGAAGCGCACCATACATGCAGCTCTAATGGAGGCAACCTAAACCTACACAAGTTCTACTGCTGTGGCAGGAAGTGGACTTTGGGAGTGAAGCAATGCAAAGCACACATTACAGCAGACAAAACCCAATAACACATCCTGCATGACTGTTCTGAAACATCACAGCCTGCAGCAGAACCTCAGAGCTCTCACTTCACTGCTTTGAGCCTTTGAAACTCTAAATATTTAGATTTGCTGTGCCTGCCAGGTCAGCAGTTACAGCTCTCAGGGGTCACTGGCACATCACTGCGGCTAACACAAGGCAAACATTACCTCCAGACCCACAGACTGTTACCTGAAAAGCCAAGAGCTGTATCTGGGTTTAAATGTATTTATTTATTAAGCCTTGCTGACCATAATCATACTTGTCCAGGTTTTCTCCCTCCTCTCTTCTGAGACGTCAGTGTTTGAGTGCCTTGTAGTTCTACTGGAAGTGTTCAAGTTGGACAGGGCTTGGAGCAACCTGGTTAACACAAAATGTCAGGGTGCTGTTGTGGCCCAGGTGCAGGATCCAGCACTTTGCCTTGTTGAACCTCATTCCATTGGCCACAACCCATTGATGCAGTCTTTCCAGATCCCTAATGTCTATTTGGTCACTATTTTGTAACCAGAAAAGGAAAGAAAGATGAAGTTTGTGACTAAATGGTTCA